CAGGGAGTCAGTCACATGCTTGTCACGTTTGATACATATGTTGAAAATATGTATTTTCTGCGATACATTTATTAAGAGAAAGATTCTGACAATTTTATCTTACATTTTATTTTTGTTTTAGTCAAAATGAAGATGTTAGATATTTATAAATGGAGAAAGTATAAATATACCTTGAATATCTAACACTGAAGAAACGGTTTAAGAAAATTTCATTAAGTGGTAGAATATTATATAACAGTTAAATGTTTTATTAAAGATTCATTTAATATCACTATGTAAAAATTTTGCCATTATGAGATACAACAATGTTCTTAATTGGAGTAGAAAGTCTGAAAGGATATCCAAAAGAGTTCTCAGGGGTCATTTCTTAGTGGTGACATCATAAGGAATTTTTGGAGTCTTCTATGAGCTTACCCATATTTTCTTCTTCTTTTTTTTTGAGACAGAGTTTCTCTGTGCATCTATGCCTGTCCTGGAACTCACTCTGTAGGCCAGGCTGGCCTAGAAATCACAGAGATCTACCTGCCTCTTCCTCCCTGAGAGCTGGAATTAAAGGCATGCGCCACCACACCCAGCTCATATTTTCTACTTTAACAATAGAACCAATGTAGGATCTTATTTGAGACTAAATTTGACAGAAATTAAAACCTGAATTCCACCCTAAATTGTTGTCAAATTCAGTTTCAAAAAGAAGGGCGATAAAGCTTTATTATAAAAAAAAAACCACCACAGGGATATGCACAACAAATTAAATAATAATAATAATAATAATAATAATAATAATAATAATACTTACTGAAAAGTAAACAGTCAGTCGTATTAGAAAAAGAGTTGTTTCAGTTCATAAGCAAATGTCCCTGTTCTAAACAGAAATCCCCCTTCTCAATTGCAAACAGAGAGCAAGCACCTCCGTTTTTATTATAAGTTCAGTAAATGCAAAATATTATACAGTAGAAATCTGAAAGATTACTATGTAATTATCTTTACATGCTAAATATACATCATTGTCAAATATAATCATAGTTTTACCTGAATAGTGACAGAGTTCAAATAAGGAGCTGTATCTTTTTGGTTCACTGTATCTGTTTCTCAGTCATGAGGAAATGATTTCTTAATTTTATTATGACACAGATATTGTTTTTAAAATTAGAATCTTTCCTTGAAACTGTCTTTAACTGAGAATCAGAAGAGTATGCTACACATTCTTTTGAAGACTTTGAGCATTTAAAAAAATTTAAATAACATTACATAAAGAAGAACTTGGCTTTGACCTGTCTGGAAATCTAACGCCACTCATTCCTTTGGTGCCTGGTGCCAATAACGCATGTTCCTTGTAGCCCCAAAGGCTAGGGAACAAGGGAACTGAGCGTATTCTTTAATTCATTCTTGTCTTCCTCACTTTTCAAGAGAGAAGAAGCCTTGCCCCTAGAAGACAGGGACTGTCCTTTCTCTCGAGCTTCAGGTAACAGTGAGATGCTTAACCTACCAAGAAAGTGAAGCTGGGGCATGAATAGCTCTGAAGCAAGGCAATGAAAAATAGCATCACTGCTGACAAAGCACCAGGACAGTTCAGCAGAAATGGTTACTTTCAGGGATGGAGAAAAGGCATGTTGAGTAAGACAGATGAATTGCCAAAAATTGATAATGTCTCATATGAAATAAATAATGTTTGACTGATATCAACTGTATAGATGAAACTGGTACAACAAACAGAACTGGAATTTGGTAATAGGCAGATTTCATTGCACCCTCAAAACCACATCTTTTTTTTTTTGTATAAACTGAAGCTTTAAAATTAAATGCTATGTAACCAAAAAAGGAAAAAGAAAGATGTTCTTTCACTCCTATGGCATCTTGGTAAATAGAGGCCCTTAGAGCGGGTAGCACTCCAAGGGGTGGGTATGGGAATGGGTACGATGATCTCCAGGACCTGGGCCGAGGTAATTCGTTCATTGAGAAGAACCCAAGAACTACAGGAGGATGAAGGAAGCAGCTGAGACTCTGCCAGGGAGACAGGACAAGGGGAAGGTCAAATGACCAGAGGGCCAGAGCCTGGATCTCAAAGACACAAAACTATAGTAAAAGTTAGTATTGGCTCAATATAAAGCAATACTGCTGCCTAAGCAATTGTCTCAACTGCACATAGACGGCTGTGTGAAACACTACTTGGCTGTTCTGGAGGGTTCCTGGGAGAAGGGCACCTATGAACGAGCACACTTCCCAAAGAGCCTGTGGGTGAACATTTTTACGGTAGAATTTATTTTAAAGTTTGCATTTGTAACTCCAATTAAATAAATATATCTATTTCCAACAGCCCCCTTGCAGAACGAGTTCTGCTATTTTAATTATTTTGGAACAAAGTTGCAAAAATGTGATAATTATTACTCTGACAGTCATAACAATGCTGCCAGAGAGCTGGGGGATAGTGCGACAATATACACGCACAGCTGAGAGGAGTATGATCGATGCCCACGTGTGTCATCTGAGAAATGCCTGCCTTCCTTGATAGTCTGTTAACACGCTTTCTGTAACTCAGAACACCGAATAGTGTAGAGAGTGTAGTGTCTCTGTTCAACCTTAGGATAAGCAAAACCCTCAAAAGTCAATACTTTTTAAAGTTTCATGTTTTTAAGGACATTAATTTTAAAAAAATTTAAAGTTATATTTCTTTTAAGGTATTCTGTAGAGTAGAAAGGACTCTGGATAACTTTAAAGATAGAGACATCTGAGTTCAAATACTGACATCACCCCTTACTAGCTGTGTAAACCTGGACAAATCACTCAGTATCAGATTCCCAAAATGCAAACCACAAACATGTTGGCCAGCATCGTTAACTGGGTGATATGAGGCTTGAGTATAATGCTCTCTGGTTCAAGGCAAGGTAGTGTTACACGAAGTTGGCAATTATCATTGCTTATTGTCATTATTACTAAGTTAAGTCTTTAACTTAATTATGGAAACTATATTGTCCCGTGCTAATTCAGAGCTACATGTGGGTTACACATTAACAGGGCAGAGTTTATCTATCAAGCATCACCATGATTTTATTATATGGAAGCTTAGTCTTTTGGGTGTGCAGTGAATATTCATTGAATTGAAGCTTTGGTTTACCTCAGAAAGACATAGAGATAAAAAATGTAGTTACTGCCTTCCTGGACTTAGAGGGCAATGAGACAGCCATGAAGACAGGCAATTATTATAGTCTGGTCATTAAAAGGAACATCTAGTTGGGTACACTGTATGAAGTTCAGATGAACATTGTTTGCCTTGAACTCCATGGCTTTGACGCCACCTGAGAGCAGTCCTGTTCGTGGACCAGATTCAGACAGCGTGGAGATAAGGGTCCCACAAGACATTATCTCTTTGAGGAGGAATATTTTCTTGAGTTTGAGAGAACAAGGAGCAGGCAAAAGTGTGAAGACAAGAGAAGCGGGAGAAGCGTGCTGCCCAGAGGGAAAATCTTCAGCGGACGTGCGAGGCTGTGTCGCGCTGCTTCAGGGAAGGTTTAGAGCGAGGAACAGAGCCTTGCTGAAGATAGGTGAGCATGAAACATGTCCAGCATCTAGTCACAGACACTGACTTTAATCTAAAAGAGTCGAGGAGCCATCCGGAGTCTCAATAAAATGTGATTTAAAATATAATGGAAAAAGCTATCATATTTTAAATTTGATATTTAGTCTACTGCATTTTGGAAAAGGAGTTAGTTCAGGTTGATTTTCTCTTTTCTGATCAATTGCATATTATTCACTATAAAATTATTTAAGTAATTGAGATGGCTAGCGGAAATATGACTAATTTTATCACTTTGGGCAATTTTAACTTGAATGCGAATGTCAAAACTAGACATAGTTATTTAATACTGTTGTCATTAGTTTTTTTTTTTGTTTTGTTTTGTTTTTTTTTTTTTTTGGTTTTTCGAGACAGGGTTTCTCTGTGGTTTTGGAGCCTGTCCTGGAACTAGCTCTTGTAGACCAGGCTGGTCTCGAACTCACAGAGATCTGCCTGCCTCTGCCTCCCGAGTGCTGGGATTAAAGGCGTGCGCCACCACTGCCCGGCTGTCATTAGTTTTTATTGTTGGCTAAAAACACTTCTAAATATCCCATTAAAACAATGAAGTATGAATATTGAATGTTAATTTAAAAATTAATATTAAATTAAATTAATATTATTCATGACAAAACATTAAGTTCAGGGCTGAGATAAAAAAGAATCTAGTTTGGAAAGTCTTAAGTTTTCAAAATGAAGGCTACTCCAAAGATTTCTTCATGGATGACTACTTCCTCGAATAAACAGAAAGGAACAAGTCAGAGATGCTTCTGGTCCTGTCCTCTGGACATCTGTAATGGCTTGGATCCTATGTCAGGCACAAAAAACACAGAACATATGCAAGGAACCCACACACTCACATATTCCCCCCTGCTGGTTGGTTATGACAAAGGCAAACTTATTTTCCTCCCAAGAAAGAAATCGAGGACATTTTAGTTATTCATTATAACATTTTCAATACCTATTAGGTGCTTTATTTTTTTTCTTGGAACTGGCAACACAAGTGTATGCACCATAATCTCATGTTGAGTTTCCGTTCATGTTACCACCTCCAGCTCAAGCCCCTGATGATGCCAACCAGACACGACACCCCAAGGTCTGCCTACCGCAGCCTTTCCTTCCTACAGCTTCCAGCCCGGCAAATGCTTTAAAGTGAAGCTGGAACTTCTATGTGGAGTTTGCTGCTTGTTGTAATTTGGAAAAGTGGCTTCCATTTATCAGATCTTATTTTTCTCACCTGTAAAAAAACTCATAGAGGAAGAATGGATTTTTCAAATTCTCATTTGCCGATGTGGGAACCACAATTTAGGGAAGCTAAATTGCTCGCCTAAAGCTAGAGAAGTTAATTGAAAGCTTTCAAAAACCGTAAGCCTTGTGCGTTTTCCACCACACCAAAATAGCCATGGACGCCGAGTCTGTGAGGGGCACAGCGAAAGGATATTTCAATACATACCTGCTTCGTGAATCTCTTCTTTGCCCGTGTAGGAGGAAAACACCTGCCTGGAAAACTTGTACTGTTGTTCTCGGAAATTGTTTTGTAAGTAATCCATCAACATGACATAGCCAGACTGTTGCATTGTGAGAACTTCACAAAATACAGCCAGCTGGAAAGAAGACCAAACCATTTAACACACCAGCTTCAAAAGCCTCAGCAAACGCTTTAACGGGATAGTCTGCAGCACAGCTACAAAGCAATGCTTTTACAATAGCGTCAAATTGCCTCATTATGTGAACCTCCGAGATTACCTGGCTTTCGGAAATGCTAACTGTATCCTTAAAAACAATCCATTCCACGGTGTCTGTGCAGGGAGGAGATGTCAGTGAGCCGTTGTAAATGTAATACTTGTCAGTGGAGTTTGGCAGAAGGTTCTGCAGGATGAACGGATCTAAGGCAGCCTGCTTCCCTAGGAAGTAATAACACATATCTCAGCTGGCGTCCCAACACTGGAACTTACTTATCAAATCTGCTATGAAACAAGAGTGCACTCTTAACTTATATACATAGAATAAAATTTTTAAGAATGTTAGATATATGATATATATGTATATATAACATATTGAGCATACCACAAATCACCTTAAATATGTCATTATAGGCTGTTTGATGTCTTCTCTTGTAAAATGATGCTGAAAAAAGATCATTTTATATAAAAAATAAAGAAATTTATGCTTATATCAATGGATATATATCATCTACATATTTTGAAAAAAAATCATTCTAGTTCATGGAACGCAAAAGCAAAGGCCTAAGCTGTTTAGATCATTGTCAAAAGCCTAGAGTGAGCACTGGTTTAAGACTGACACACTGAGAGCTTCCCCGGGGAAGTCAAGAACGAGACAAGGATGTGTCAAGTCATCACATTTATTTGATATTAAACACGAAGGAGAACAAAACTGTGCTGAGTGAAGCTGGCGCATGGCTTGATCCCAGCATTGGGAGCTGGAGGCTTGCCTGGGTTGCTTAGGGAGACGCTCTTTAAAAGAAAAAAAAAAAAAACGGAGTGGGGAGAAAACAATTAGGATTTATAGGAATTGATATCATCCAAATTTGCAAACAGCACACATGATTGCGCATCTGCGGCTTAGGGAACAAGACAGAAGAGAAGGCAGAGAGAGCCAGAATACCAGGAAGTCAGGTGTGAAATGGTCTCTCCTAGAAATGGCTGCACAAACAAGACTTTGACAATGACAAAAAGCAGTGGACGTGTTAATGAGAAGATGGGAAATTTTCATGGGGCCCCCTCGCTAGACAGAGAGCCACAGGCAACTAGTGGTTGTTGGGAGGGGAAAAATTAACCTTTCCTAGGGCTTAGACCCTTATTAATTGTCCAATAAGGAGTGGTCAGCCCTGAAAGTCATATACACACAAACAGCAAAAGCATACTCAGCAGGTTGTATTTATAAACATTTTTGCATACACGTAAATGCACAAGTATGTGCATATATGGAGCAGCAATAGTCAAAGAAAAAGTGGTTATCCATTTGAGAGTGAGGAGGGATATGGGATGGGCTGTGGGGAGAAAAGGGAACAAGAAAAGTGATTTAATACTGTTTTGATTAAAAGCCTTTCTTTTTAAAGACTAAATAGTGTTAAGAATGGCCACCACTCCCACAGAATTGCAAAACAGAACTCTGAAAAATATTTTTTAGAGAAATCAGATGCAAATCAAAACAACTGTGAGATACCATCTTACACCTGTCAGAATGGCTAAGTTCAAAAACACTAACAATAGCCTTATACTGGAGAGGTTGTGGAGTAAGGGGAACACTCATCTATTGCTGGTGGGAACGCAAACTTGTGCAACCACTATGGACATAGTGGTGGTTTCTCAGAAAAGTGGAAATCAAACTACCTCAGGATCCAGCAATAACATTCTTGGGAATATACCCAAGAGATACTCAATCATACCACAAAAGCATTTGTTCAATTATGTTCATAGCAGCATTATTTGTAATAGCCAGAACCTGAAAACAACCTAGATGCCCCTCAACTGAAGAATGGATAAAGAAAGTGTGGCACATGTACACATTAGAGCACTACTTAGTGGTAAAAAAAAAATGACATCTTGAATTTTGCTTGCAAATGGAGAATTAAAAAACACTATCCTGAGTGAGGTAACCCAGACCCCCCAAAATGAGCATGGTATGTACTCACTACTAAGTGGATGCTAGCCATAAACAATGGATACTGAGACTATAGTTCATGATCCTAGAAAAACTAAATAATAAGGTGAACCCAAAGAAAAACAAATATATACCCACCTGGAAATTGGAAAGAGACATGATCGTCTGACAAAATTTGGGAGCTGGATAGTCGAGATGGAGGAAGAACAGAGATGAGAGCAAGGAAAGAGATATCTTGATTGAGGGAGCTATTATGGGGTTAGCAAGAAACCTGGCTCTAGAAAAATTTCCAGGAGCCCACAGAGATGACCCCAGCTAAGACAATAAGAAGAGGGGGCCTGAACTGACCATGCCCTGTAGTCAGACTGATGATTATCTCAATATCAACATAGAACCTTCGTCCAACAACAGATGGAAACAGAGGCAGAGACCCACATTGGAGCACTGGACTGAACTCCCAAGGTCCAGTTGAAGAGTGGAAGGAATGAGAGTATGTGCTGGTGCGGGAGGTCCTTCTGTCTGTGTGTTTCTTTTCTTGGTTAATGAATAAAGAAACTGCCTTGGCCTGTTGATATGGCAGAACTTAGGTAGGCAGGAAAGACAGAACTGAATGCTAGGAGAAGGAAAGAGTCAGAGAGATGCCATGGATCTGCAGCCGGAGGTAGATGTGCTAAAACTTTGCTAGTAGGCCACAACCTCGTGATGATATACAGATTAATAGAAATGGGTTAAATTAAAATGTAAGAGTTAGCCAATAAGAAGCTAGAGCTAATGGGCCAAGTAGTGATTTAATGAATAAAGTTTCTGTGTGATTATTTCGGGGCTGGGTAGCCTGGACAAACAAGTGGTCTCCTTGCAACAGTGAGCAAGGAAGTCAAGACCATGAGAGGTTCACCCACTGAGATAGTTTGCCTGAGCTAATGGGAGCTCACCAACTCCAACTGGACTGGGAGTGAATGAGCATGGGATCAAACTAGTCCCTCTGAATGTGGTTGACAGTTGGGACAGACTGAGGGGGTCACTGACTGGTACTGGGATTTGTCTCTACTCCGTGTACTGGCTTTTCGGGATCCTATTCTCTTTGGATGTATATCTTGCTCAACCTAGATGTAGTGGGGAGGCCTTGGACTTTCCACAGGGTGGGGTGCATTGCCCTCTCAGGATTGGAGGGGTTGGGGTGGAAAGGCGTGTGGAAGAAGTGGGAAGAAGTGGGAAAAGAGGAAGGAGTGGGAATTCAGATTGGTATTTTTTAAGTAATAAAATAAAATAATAATAATAATAAAAGAAATCAGGAGATTGAGGAAACTTTTGGAAGAGCAACTTGGTGATTATTTGGGGCAAAAATGGAGAATAAGAGAGCCAAAATGTGTTCTCGCCAGCATTCTTTGGATTCTGGACTCTTTGTCATTTCAAAATCAATATCAACTGATGCTTCTTTGTTTCTAGGATCCACTGCTCTCATCTATTCGGAAATTTCCATGTTTTAAAAATTCTGGTGTGTTCAGAAGCAAAACAAGATACTATTATTTACAAATAAGAAAAGTTGAGTTGTAGTAGAGAAAGATCTCAAGTATTCTGAAAAAGCATAAATAATAGAAACATTACTATTATGGAATAGTCATTGTTGTATTCGGAATAAACACTTGTCTTTTAAGAAATGCTTTAAAGGGTAAAAAAAGAGAAGAGGAAGAATTAAAGGCACAAACACAATTATACAAAGAAGAATTCATAAGGCAGGGAATTAAGCAAGTTCATATGCAAGCGAAGAGGTGAAGAGCTCTTGTCTTTTAGTAGACAATGGAGAACTGACTGAATGTGCTTGAAGAGGTTTATTTCTTTTCTCATTTAAATTCTGTATTAATTTAACTATATACCACATTTGCAAGCTTCAAGATAAAATTGAATTAAACATGCATATTGAGAAGTATTTTTAAAAGACTATTCTGTTTAATAAATGAATCTGGCAAAGTCACGGAGCACAATACCAGTACAATAAAACATAATTGTATTTCTACAGTTTCAATTTCAAACAACAAAAAATAATTTTTCTGTAACATGAGTTTTTCCCTCCATTGTTTTCTTTAGATTTTTTTATACAATATATTTCTTCCAATATCTCCCAGAATCTTCCTCCCGCTTACCTGTACACTCAATTTCATGTCCATTCTCTTTTAAAAAGAAATAAAACCCTCAAACTGAACAAAGACAACAAAAAGCATCAAACAACAAACAAACAAAACTGGAGTCTGTTTTGTGTTGCCCAACTCCTCCCGAGTATGGGGCCTACCCTGGATTGTGGTTGATATACCCAGTGCCACTCCATTGAAGAAAACTGATATCCCTTTCCCAGAAGCTACTATTGCAAAAGCAACGTGGTTTAAAATAAGAGGAAATATGAAATACAAGTACCTCTGAGTATCCCAAAACTCACTATACAGACCAGTGCTGAGACAGACAGCATGCTCCACTACCTATGCTTTTCATCTGTTAACGGGGATGCTGATTGTAAAGTTTAAATGAAATACAGTCTATAGATCCAATAATCTTGAACAATAGCAAGCTGCACAAATGTCAACTGCAGACAAGAAGGCTTGCTGATCATATACTGTTGTGGAAACCATATAGTGACATTATGCAGACATGTCTTATTCCTTTCCAACAGTGCTTGTCAAGGGCACCACGTTGGCTATCCAGCTCTTTCTTTACTGCCCTTACTCATATAGGCAGATAAAATTTCTTTTATATGTGTCTTATGAAAATATGATTGTGGAATATACTAATTAAATCAAGAGGTGGAAATTGATGCCCTGCTAGCTAGGAGAAACTGAATTGATTCTTGATCAATTCAAGATCTAGAGGCAGGGCAGAGAGGACAGAGGTTTGAGACCTATGTGGGGATGTGGGGCACAGAATTTCCTGGGACATGGAGATGATTAAAGGTAAGGAAGGTTAAGAAGAAAAGGAGGTCTTCCTTTTTTCTCCTTAATACATAATCCATTCTGCTTTTTCTGGACCTTAGGAGGCATATTTTTTTGCTGAGGGGATAAAACTTCATGCTGTTTGTTACAGCTGGTATTTTCATGTTTGTCCTAAAATTCTGTCCTAAATACCACATTAGACTTTTCAACTCTGGCTCTGATTTTCAGTCCTGCCACCATACACTGAGAAAATTGGACTATGGTGATATTTTGTGACTCGTGAAATAATTGTGACTTCCATCTGAATAACTACATAAGAGAATCACGCCTGGCCAGCAGCTCTCCATCAGTGCTCAGGCATTCCTCTCAATCACCAGTCTCTCAAACACAGATGATTAACCAACCAACATACTAGCTCCTTTCCTGGGGAGGTTGACAATGAAAGGAGGAAGATGAGGCGGAGACAGGTGACTGAGAGCCATAATACAGCCCAGCACTAGAGGAGTGCTACTGGGGACACAGAACCAACTTTTACTTACAACAACGACATTTAAGGGACCACCTAAAAACCGCTTGCAAGGATTTTTCACTATGCAGAAGGCTGGGCCTACTCTGCAATTGAGCAAGCAGCATAAGTAGCCCTGATGAGACCGTCCGTTTGAGAACCACTGATAACATTACCTGCATGCTTTTCATCTTTGCAGTTGAAAAGATTCATTAATACCTCTCTCTTCTGTCTGTTCTGCTTGAAGATTATTAATATTTTATCTCTGTATCACAGTCACCACCTTTCTCCTCAGTCTACAGATACAATGCCTAACATCAAATAGTTATGGGGAGAGGAAAAGGAGAGAGAATAGGATCTCAAAGCGAAATGAGCTTTGCCTTTTGGAGAGAAATGCAGGAGCTGAGCAGCCAGCCCACATCATAGTGAGCAGACTTTATATTCTGAATGATGTTTCTGAGACTGAGTTGTTTGCAACTTTTCTTACATGGAGACCATGAATCAAGACCTGGATGCAGTCCAGGGTCCTCTTTGTCTAAGGGTCACAGCTATTGTCAGTCTTTAAGATTCCCAATAAGACTAGCTCAACAGACCAAACTGAGAAGCCCCCAGTTTCATAGAATCTAGGGGATGTTCCAGAGTGCAAAAGAAAATGGAGAAGGTCCCATCACATGTTAGGGTGAATAGTCTGGTTCTCTTGTCTCTTCAGCTGATGGAAAACACAGAAACACTCAGGTTCCTATGCTTTAAAAAAAAAAGCCAACCTGGTCCTCTTCCTTCAGTGAAAGAGAATCCACTTTCTGACTTACTGAGAAAAAGTTAAGTGCATCAGTGTTGAATTTGCTTCCAGGTAGACCGAAAGGCAGTCAGCTGGATCTTGCCTTTCCTTATAGACAAAGAGGGGAAGCAGAGTTCTCCTCTGCAGGAGACCACACATTCCTGACTCATGAAAAGTTCAGTCAATTCTGATCTTCAAATGTAAGTGACAAAGATGAATGAATCCTAGGTTGGGTTTCTGCTTTCAAAGAAGGGGACCATGAGAGCCTTGTTTCTGACTTCAGATTCTTTGGCTTACCAGGGAGGAATAATTTTCATTTTTATTGATAACCAAGGGAGCATTAAAATTGTCTGTGTGGGCACAGGTTTTGAGCCTGTCACCAAGGTTGTCAAAAGCATTTGCTGTGATGTATGACAAGATCCACAAGGTATGTGTCAGACAGGATAAAATAAAGCACACTCCTTCCTGTTCTATGTAAACCCGCAACATTTTGCAAGAATTTCACTTCTTTAAAATACCCTTCTGCCAAGAAAACCACCAAAGAATAGATGTCCACTTGAGTAAAATTCCCTTTCACTTCATAATTTGATATTTTAAAAATTAATTAGCTTAATTACTAATTAATTTGTTAAAAAGTAATCAACAAAATTAATTAATAATAAAGTAATTGCTTAATTAATTAGTTTTAAATAGTTTTTAAGGGGATGTATAATACCAAAGCTTAAGAGGTGAATGTTTTAAGAGCATAGTACAATCGTATTATTTTTAAGAAAGAATTTAGACAATGTCAGACTTCTTTTTACATTGATAACATATAATTTAAAATTTTAATTAGTCAATTAATTATTTATTTACTTGAGACAGCACCTACAGTGTGCCCCTGACTGGCTGTCCTGGAACTAGTTGTATAGACCAAGACTGCTTCAAACTCAGAGAGAATCACCTGCCTTTGCCTCCTAAGTGCTGGGATTAAAGGCATGCGCCATCAGAGCCAAGTACTCATAGTCTTTAAGGTAAAAAATTCCCTGATATATGGTTCTTTACTTAGGAGAAATAAGCAGTCAAGTGTGGGAAGGGAAATACACTCATCTTTACAGACATTTTCCTCTCCATCCTTCACAAGTGGTTTTTCACACTGCAGATTCACATAGGAATTCATATCATAATCGTAACAGCTTACCAAAACGACTAACACCTTCAATTCCATCAATAATGGCTTTGAAATCCAAATTTTCTTCCATTCCAACCTGTGAAAGAAGAATGACATTATGAGAACAGGATCCAACAATTAACTGACTGTTGCACAAGGAATTCCAGTTTAAGTATGTTTTAGTATGTTCCGAACACACCCCACCCCACCCATTGTTTTCAAGAGCAAGGTACAAACAAAACAGAAAAATCAGGTAACTTTTTATTTTACACTCTGAAAAGTAAAATGGGAAATGTTGTGATTTAGTTACTTGCTATTGAGTTGGGATACTCTTCATGGACAGATATGCAAATCTGTGCACTTAACCTGTCCACTTCAGCTGGAAGAAGCCTTTCCAGTGAATGAGTATGAACACTCTTTTAACCATACCAGCCAGGGGTCACCCTTCCTGGAAATGACCACCAATGATCATTAGGGTGGTGATGTCTCCAGCTTGTATTTATATTAACATTTACTCCTTACAGTTCTACGATGGAAAAGATTAGTTATAAACATGTGTGTAATAATTACCTCAAATAAAACAGATAAAGCCCTCAGCCTCCCCTTTCCTTTAACTGCTTCCTCAAAACTTGAAAATCGATCCGCATCAAAGCAGTAGACTTGCATCTGTAAATGTAGTGATGACAGTTTTGTTAGAAGCACTGCATGAAAATCAACAGAGACAAAACAGAGAAGCTGACTAAGTCAGCAAAATCTACTGAAAAATTCTACAGACTACATAATTCTATATTCTCTGCATTCCCCCAAATAATTTCTCAGTTACACATATACTTAAATAAGTTTTCTATCATTTATATCTTTGAATATAGAAGGAAATACAGAATCTTTCTAGGATAGCATGTATTACCAAGAAAATAGCAAAACATGACAGTAACAATTCCCTAAGTAATCATTGAACCTACAAAAATTAACAAAGATTCTTTTAACTGTTTTACTTGAATCTACAAACCTGTAACTTGCTGTTTCTTGAGTAAGCATTCCTTTCTTGATGGCCCATTATTACAGTTTTGGGTATTATCACGGGGTATTTACGGATCTTACACTGAAATTCTAAAAGATTCTACTTGTATTTAAAAAATGCCAAGTGTTTCAAGCTTCCTATTGTAACTTCTGCTGTGCAGCTTGCCTGTTGAGTGTCTACTCTAGATGCTCAGCCACGACAGACTGTATTCAAGCTTTTAATGGATTCTTCGCTTATGGGCTTAAACCCAGGTAACTGAGCTATATAAATGTTGGGCACATAGCAAGAATGTCTTGTGCCCACAGATTTCCAGAGAAACCAGGAATGTTAAGCACTCAGGATTGTCTCTCCAAAGGTAAAGATGAAAAACCTGTTCTTCCATCTAGAAAGCTAAGAAATAGAAATGTTTAACAGCCTGGTGATCTGTATCATTAGTTGAGCCAAACCATATCAAGCTCCTACACCTAGAACTGGAAAAGGTTAGTAATCTAAATGACGCTTATAGCCAGAGGTTCCCCAAAGCTCCCTCACCCAGGACCAGAGGTGACTAATAGCTCAAATGATGTCTAAGCAATCTGCATGACTAAGCCAGACTTTTAGGATTCAGTTGGCACAGGTAGCCTATTTCTAGAACCCACAACATGGAAGAAATGACATGAACCCTGAGTTGAGTTTCAATATAATTTTGCTTCTTTGTGCAACAGGGACTGAATTACACCTGGAAACCTTTTAAAAAAATTGTACAGAACTTAAATACGATGGGAATAAATTGCCTGACTTCCCACAGTCTGATCCAGGTTGATGAAGTCAATCTGCACTGAGTTTTTATTGCTATCTCTTCACGTGGTTCACTTCCCTATACGACACCTGCAGGGATCCCCTCATATAAAGGTAGAACTCAGGCGAGAGTAGAAAGCCTGTGAGAACTCTCAAGGACTGTAAGTGGAGAAGCACCATGTCCAGCAGGACAGCAGTGGCTATGGTGTGCCAACAATGCGTTTTCAGTGAGGGCATCTAAGCCAACAAAGGACAAAGAGATTTGAGTAAGTTGAAATGGGAAGGAATTGGTGGATGCTCTATTGTTCTAAGGAAGTGCTCCCAGAAAGGTGTACACCAAGAAAATATAAGCATGGAAAACTGAAAGTCATTTTATGTGATATCAATGGATCATTGTAAGGGAGGAGGCTGAAGAAGCAGGCAGTGGTCACACCATGAAGCTATGGGAAGTCACCAATGTCATTTAGGAAACAGACATAAGGATGGGTGCTGTGGGATAATGTCCTTGTACACGGTAAAGATTTGTCACTCATATTGGTTTAATAAAACACTAATTGGCCACTAGCCAGGCAGGAAGTCTAGGTGAAACAACCAGATTAGAAGAATTCTGGAAAAAAGAAAGGCAGGGAGTCAGTAGCCACCCAAACTCAGAGGAAGCAAGATGAGAATGCCTAACTGAGAGAAGGTACAAAACCACTTGGGTAAACATAAGTAAGAATTATGGGTTAATTTAAGTTGTAAGAGCTAGTTAGTAATAAGCCTGAGCACCAGGCCAACTGGTTTATAATTAATATAAGCCTCTGTGTGTTTATTTGGGACAGAATGGCTGTGGAACCAGGCAGGACAGAAACTTCTGTCTACAAATGGTAAGGGATAGGAATGGGGATGGACTGAAAGAGACTAAGATGAAAGAAAAACTAATAATATATTGACATTTAAAAAGTTATGAAGAAATAATCATGGTTTGAATTTGCTTTCTAAAACACATATAATTTGTAAAAAGAATTCAAAAGACTTGGTTGTGGAATGTGGGAGACAAAGGAAGGAAGGAAAGAAGAAAGAATAGAAGGAAAATTTCTAGGATCCTCCTTTCCATGAACAACAGCGTGGAAAATACTTCTAGGATTCACTTATTTTAAAGATGTATTTAATTTTGTTTTGTGTCTCTGATTGCTTTGCCTACAAGTTTGTCAGTTCACCACACGTATATCTGGTGCCCAGGAAGGCCAGAAGAGGGCATCAGGTACCCTGGAACAAGACTTATAGATAGTTCTGAGCTACTATGTGGGTGTTGGGAACTGAATTTCAATCCTCTGCAAATGCTTTTATCCAATAAGTCAACTCTTTGAACTTTATTTATTTTTATTTTTTATTTTCATTTATTTTTATTTTTATTAATGCTGTACTTATGTGTATGTCTATGTGGAAGTAGGTGCATGTGGGCATAGTTGCTGACAGAGGTCATAATGGGGAGTTGGATTCCTGGACCTGGAGCTACAGGCATTTGTGAGTCATCTTATAGGTGCTGGAAACTTAACTGGGGCACTTTGCAAGAGCAGCACACAATTCTTAATCCCTGCGCTATCTCTCTAGCCTGAAAAATATTTTTTTAAAAGCAGCACAGAAAATAAAAAGCAAGCAAGCCAACAAACAACTCTTCTAAAAGAGTCTTTAAAGAGTTTCTCTATATAAGAGTCCTGGCTATTTTGGAACTCACTCAGTAAACCAGCTGGCCTTGAACTCAGAGATCCACCTACCTCTGCCTCTGGAGAGCTAGGATTAAAGGTGTGCACCACCACCGCCCAACATCAAACATTCTTTTGTATTTATTTTGATTGCTTAAAAAAGTAGATAACTGTACAAAAGCTTAAGTCATAGAAGCGAGATGCTATGTATTTAAATTGTTGGTGTTTATTTCTTTGACACATTTAATACATATAAATTTATTCCTAGATAGTTAATATACAACCCCTCCTGATTATAGTTCACAAATGTATTATTCACATTTTAAAAGGCCTTTTGGTTCTTCAACAAAATTCACTCTAGCATTGTTTTATTACTACTAACTATTTTTGAATTATAAAAAGTAATACAGTTTCATTGTGGGTAATGGAGGATTTTTAAAGAAGCAAATATAAGAGGCATTTATAATACTATCATTTCAAGAAACCCACTGTTCACCTTTTCATGGCTTCTCTGAAGGATTTCTAAAGAGTATTAAATATATTCCCTCCCTTAATTAACTCCATACAGCTGGTACTAGTAGGTCTGTTTCAAAGGACAAAAATAGAAGAATATGCAAATCAAATGATTTGTACAATACCATGTCACTAAGGGTAGAGTCTGGTCCATTTGGCCCAGTCTCATGTAATTAGTTTTCATGTTTTGCAAAGTTTGCTGGTCAGGTCATTTTATATTCTTTTTTTTCCAATGCATTAATAATATAAAATATTTTGTGATGGGAGGGTATGAATTCTCTCTCTCTCTCTCTCTCTCTCTCTCTCTGTCTCTCTCTCTCTCTCTCTCTCTCTCTCTCTCTCTCTGTGTGTGTGTGTGTGTGTGTGTGTGTGTGTGTCGGGGGGGGGGATGGCTATAGAGGTGAGAGGACAGTCTTGGATATTGAGTCTTGCTATCTACCTGTTTGAAGCTGGGTCTCTGTTGCTTTCCATTACTTACTCCAAGACAGCTGGCCCAAGAGCTTCTGGGGTGTCTGCTTTCTGCCCCTCCCCCTTGCTATAGGAGCACTGGAATCACCTGCTGGGCCATCTCCCCACCCTCCGAATGAAACTTTCCAGGGAATTATATCACTCAAAACATGATTTTTACAAGGTCTGAAATTTCATCATAATGTTCTTCATCATGCTCTTTGTTTCAATATTTAATATTATATAAAAATCTTTACACATAAATTGAGTAATTTATATTAATCAGTAATTAATTAATCAAATATTGTTGCTACAATCCAAATTATAAAATACTAAAAATAAACAATTAAAGTTTCAATACAAATTAAACTATTTTCCAGAAAGCTTAGTACTTTAGAGACATATGAAAGTTTTTAATATAAACATCATTTATCATACTTATAACTCTTTTTTAGTTTTAAACATAAGATTTTTTTCTCATTTTAATTAACGGACTTAAATGCAAGCATTCTGCAGTACTTTGATTATATCACCAATTTGATTATTTTATTCATTCAATTTCTCATCTGCATTTATTGATAAGCTAGTCAAGAATAATCTGGGTATCTATGTAGTCAATATAAGTAGAGGCTAAAGATGGTCACTGACTTTACAGTCTTTTGGAAGGAAAGCATATATTGATCAAATCATCAAAACATAACTGTATGTTCGAAATTCTAAACAAAACAGCGAGTCAAATTCTATCTTAGAGAGAAAATCTCAAAGATGTAGACAGTAGGCCTGGAATCAGGGGGCTGCTACCTTACCTCAAGAGGAAACTTCTGCCCTTCCAAACTGTGCTCTGACCCTTCCGACGACACATTGCATTTTCCCCAGTGAAAAGTTATTTTGCTTGCCTTGAATACCTTTTCTGAAAGTCCTCCACTGAGATAGTAGTCATTAGTGAGATTTATTTCCACTAAAGCAAAACAAAACAAAACAAACGAATCGAAAATGCCAAAAATTCATCTAACGTTCTCAAAACCAAATTTATGAATTTTTACTAAATTTCCTCTACTCAAGAGACATGATAAAACACACTTGACAACTTTTAAGAGTTTTAAAGCATTTTGAATTTCAGTTTTGCCCTTATACTAACATACTTAGTACACCTTATTGCCACAAATCAAGGACACTGAAGACATGACTCCTGTTTGGCTCTCACCGCAGAACAGCCTGTTTGGTCTACTGAGACTGCTCTTTCTTCAAAGCTCTGCTGCCTCAAGGGGCTTGATAACAATGATGGGATGGACTTAGGAAAGGCAGGAGAGCTTCTCACCCCACATCTTTTTGTTCCATCTAACTCCTACTTTCAGTTCAGACCTCATCTGGCTCCACAAATTGTCTTAGGCAAGCCAGTTGGGAAGCCCATTCAAATGAGAGGATTCTGCATTTCCACATTTAAACTTGGAGTATCCATCACGAGAACCCAAACTTCCCCAAGTCCCACAGATTTTACTGGCTTTAGTTTTACCATTAATCTGGAGGATAATGATTCTCTGGCTTGCCTAGTGCGCGATTATAATGTCTCTCATTCTGATTCAAGAAGACCTAAGTCTGATTTAAGTTGTCCTTGTTCAGCTAAGCAGAAATCAGTTGGTATTGGCGTCATTGATTAAACCACACACACCCCGGCTAGCCAGAGAGTGATACATGCTTCCATTGATTATGATAATAAGAAAGTCAAGCACAATGACATTAATGAAAACAATGACAGTCAACAGTCACCATTTATGAAGTACCTAGTTGATAAGGATTATTTATACCTCTTATCTATCTACTTGATCGTCACATAACCTTAGGAAGCAAAGATCATTGTGATCTCTGTTACAGATAAGGTAACTGAGTCACAGACAAGGTAAGTTTACACTATCATTTTAATAGTCACTCATAAACTCAGAGTGACTGTAAGGAATAGAACTTAACCATTACACCCTAAATGATTGAAGCAGGGATTCATGTTAAAACTACAGCTTTTAACATTTGCAAAAACTGTATTGTATTTTAAAGAATTGAAACAAGTTACTTTTATTATTTGACATAATGTAACATGTCAAAATTTCCTTTTTCATTTTTTTTCTTTTTTTTGACTTATTTATTATGTATACAGTGTTCTGGAGGCGTATACTACACTCCAGAAGAGGACACCAGATCTAATTACAGATGGTTGTGAGCCACCATGTGGTTCCTTGGAATTGAACTCAGGACCTCGAAAAGAGCAGCCAGTGCTCTTAACCCTGAGCATCTCTCCAGCCCTGCCAACATTTTCTTAACTATTTATTCAAATAATATTAAAAACCTATCACATGTTAGACACTGATTGAGAAAAATCTTTATTCTCCAAGAATGTGAAGTTAAATTATTACATTTATTAATTACATTATATAAATATTAAATACAGAATAAATGTATTTATTATAAAACCACATTAATAAATCTGTTATTATAATTTTGAATATTTTTCTGATTTTGCAAAATTTTACACATTTATAGAATTCACCGACAAAGTGTTTTGTGTCAAGAAGAAAATTACCAAAAGGGAAATATTTCACATTTGTAAACTATTATATCTATTCATGGCTTACCAGAATTTTCTTAATTTAAGAAATTACATTTCTTAATAATACTTTATTTTATTAGATTAATATTAATTTAATTAATAATAATTTAAGGAATTTCATTTTGCATGTTTTGAGAAAAGAAAATAATCTTACAAAAGGTGCTTACTCAGTAACTCCTTAAGGATGGACTATAATTTTAAATTTATTCCTCAAACAAAAAGCTATTAATTTGTTTTCTTAAATTTAAATATAATTCATTATCTCACCATATTCAAATATTGATTATAGCATGCAGCTGAACATCCAAGATCAAATTCTAATGCAATAAGATACAGAAATACTGACCAAGTGTCTGATTATGCACTGAACTACAAAATTTCACTAGCCCTAATTTTATTATCTTTTTCACACATCAAATGGCAAGACCACTCTCATTACACAAATACAAAACACGACATGATGATATTGTTAGCTACATTTTTATACAAATTTTCAAAATCTTTCTTTCTTTCTTTTTTTTTTTTTTTGAGACAGGGTTTCTCTGTGGCTTTGGAGCCTGTCCTGGCACTAGCTCTTGTAGACCAGGCTGGTCTCGAACTCACAGAGATCCGCCTGCCTCTGCCTCCCGAGTGCTGGGATTAAAGGCATGCGCCACCACGGCCGGGCCATCTTTCTTTTTGGCAAAATGTCTAATTGTCTCTATTCCATTTCAGTTTTTCTACTATCAGCATCTTTTCGGTTCCTAGCATATTATTCAAAGGAAATGCATCTTATCTAAAAGTATTTTTTGTCTGAAGAACCTGCCACAGGGAAAGACAAGTCTGTTACCTGTTTTCCCAGTGTTGTGAATGAACGTGTTTTCCAAGGATGCTTTTTCCCACCCCTGAAATTTCAGTTTCTTAAGATTCACATTGACTTGTGTAAGATCTTCATCAATATTAATAGGAGACTGCTTTGGGCTATTACATGTTGGATATTTCTTTCCCCAGTTTTTTTGATTTAGTGCTCCTAGGGAAAAGAAAGAAAAGAGCATTAGTTTCTTAAATAACCAAGTAAAAACTAAATTTTGACATTATCAAATAATATATGACATAAAAACATTAGAATGATAGAAATGGCATATCTTCAAAATAAATCATTTAATAATTATGCCTCAATTAGAGGGTAGATTTTAAATACTTCATCACCTCCCATGTCACAAGAGAGTATGGTACAGACTGGGGTTGCACCAAAAGATGTGTTTACTTAGAATTTCCTAAAATCCCAACTATGTAAACTATTGGCCCACTCATAAATTTGCCAAATTTAGTGTTCATCAATAGCTTGTTTTGACTAGAGCTTTTTCTGAGTCTTCAGAAAGCCAAGATAGTCCTGATCAGCATCCAGATGGTCAGGCACTGGGAGTGGTTCTGACATCTTTACCAATCCACATGAGGTAGCCTCCTTCAGACCCTCCCTCGCTCCTGCCACCCAAAGATTTGATTTAATTTCCATCTATTCAAGTCTTATTTCTGAAAACAACCCTCAGGCTCCCCTTGTACTAATTGGTCATACAATCAAGTCTTATTATATAACCACATTAAACCAAAACACCTTATTAATATTTCAGTGTCCAGTGAGAGAATTTCCATCTCTTCCACAAAACAAACTGCCCTCAGAATCCAAGTGCCCACATTGCCTTGATTTGATGGAGGAAGGTCATTGGCTAATAAAGGAACTGCCTTGGCCCATTTTATTGGTTGGAAGATAGGTAGGAGGAGTAGGCAGAACAGGACGTTGGGAGGAAGAGGAAGTGAGGTCAGACTCCACAGGTCTCCTCTCGGGAGCAGACGCTTGAGAGAGACGCCACACAACCAGCTCCCAGGCAGACGCACACCATGAAGCTCCGACCCAGGATGGACATAGGCTAGAATCTTCCCGGTAAGCGCACCTAAGGGCGCTAGACAGATGATTAGAAATGGGCTAAATTAATATGTGAGAATTAGCCTAGAAGAGGCTAGATAGAAATGGGCCAAGCAGTGATTAAATGAATACAGTTTGTGTGTTGTTATTTCGGGCATAAGCTAGCCGTGCAGGCGGCCGGGGTGCTGGGAACGCAGCCCCGCCGCTCTTATTACTACATTGATTTCTCGCCCACTGGAGTCCTCTCATCATCCCTCGCATTCACAGAATCAGAGTGGTGCTAAGAATCGGCAACTTTTACTGAAAGTTTCATTCAAATGCTTATGATAGTATAAGTCCGAGGCTCAATCTTTTCTCACTTTTCTACAGTTATCACAAAGAAGGGAAAATGGCAACATAGTTTAAGTGGGTATAAGTTTGAAAACTTTTCTTTCTAAAAATGCGTATGATTGAAGCCTAGCTGGTATCACTAGAATTTTGGGAAATCCCCAGTAAAGACTTCTGTTTGGTGCGGCCCCAGCCTACACCACACACCCCCTCGGGATGTGAGAGAAGATGCAGGATAACTTCCATGTAAACTGAATTGAAAGACCACATCTCCACTGTGGAGACAAAGCTAATTTGCAAAACATTCCTGGAAAGAAAGGATCATTAGTCACACCGTGAGACCACCTCTGAAGTCCTGGAGAAAGCAGATAATACCACAGAGTGAGGATTTCACCAAAATCAATAGGTGATAAAAACATACTCCCGACATTGGCTATATTCCTCGAGAGTTGTTGAGCACAACGTGCTTTGAATATGTACAGTGATGCCCATTTTGGTTTCTAGAAATAGTTTTATTGATTTCAGTAATGATATGTTGCTTTCACTTTGATATGTAGGAACTTTGGCACGGGGACAAGTAAATGTTGCTAATTTTACTAATGTCAGTGTAAAGGAATCATACAGAGTTGCAGCATGAATCAATAAGATCCTTCTCATGACTTACATTTAAAAATAAGAGTCACATAGCCACACTTCACAGAGCATGAAATTTTATGTCTCTGGTAACATTGTGTGTAACATAGAAGCTGACTTTGGTCAATTGCATTTCATCAACACTCTGACTTGGATCTTAGCATATCCAGAATGGACCTTTGTGTGTGTGTGTGTGTGTGTGTGTGTGTGTGTGTGTGATAGGGCCTCTCTACACATTTAACTCTGGCTGTGCTAGAACTCTATAGACCAGGGTGGCCTTTAACTCAAAGATATCCACCTCTCTCTGAAGGCTGCAATTAAAGGTGTTTGTCACCATACTCAGCCTCCAAAATGGAACTCTCGGTTTCTTCTCTGAAACAAATTCTTCATACACTTTGCCATTCTCTAAACTTACAAATTATTGACAGGTCTAAGTTTCCATCTCAGTAAGTCATAGTGGATCTGCCTTCAAAATAATTACACTATCTGTCATCTCTACCATCACCATACTAGCCCAAATCGGGTTTATTATACTTAATGTTCCAGAAGAAGCCTCCTGAAAGAGGGTTTAAGAAAGCCAGTTCTCTGAAGCCCCATGACGCCAGATATGCATTTGAATACAATACCCAGGTAATTCATCTACATGAAATAACCACACTAGCTAAGAGATCTTTAGTGCTTTCTTTCAGCTCTACAGTTACATCTTGGTCTCTTCCACAACTCTGTTCTCTGTGTGTCGCAAGCACAATTATGAAATGTCCCTCCAAATTATCACTATTTTATACCTCATACATTTTGTGCTTAATGGTGGGCAGACATTCTCTGAATAATTCATATTCTATGGCAAAGGCAATAGCAAGTCACTGCTTGATTTTGGTATAGAAACTTCCTCAGCAATAAGAGATTTTAGGTGTTAGAGATTCTCTGCCTGGTTTTGAAGAGTTGGGTGACCAGACTCTAAGAGGTCACATGCCCAGGATCGAAGAGCCAAGGCTGGGAGCTGAGGGTGCACCCAAACTCTCAACCAGAGCTAGTAAACTAACAAAACCAGGCACCACAATTTTCTGATCTGTAAGAAGTGAATTGTTTTTAACAAGTTGAATGTACTTGGAAGAAGAAGCCAAGATTCAAATGAGACACCTTCTTGTTACACTTGTGAGACCCTGGGCAAGAGAACCCAACTAAGAAGGCTTCACTACTCCTGACCCCAAGAAACCAGAAACTAAATTGTGTTTAAATCGCTCTCAATGTAGTAATTTAATTACTCTGCAGTCAATAAAATTTACTAGCAAATCTGTGTGTGAGTGTGAGTGTGTGTGTGTGTGTGTGTGTGTGTGCGTGTGTGTGTTCGAGTGTTTGAAATAGACTTTCTCTGTGTAGCCCTGGCTGTCACCGGACAGCGTGGAACTTGCTCTGTAGACCAGGATGGCTTTAAACTCAGAGATCCACCTGCCTCTGCCTCTTGGAGTGCTGGAATTAAAGACATGCATCACCACCACCTAGCTCAGTACACACAAGCTCTCAGTCCACTCCTTCCCTAAATCCTCCAGTGCCTGTCCATATCATTCAGAAGAGAAGACCGCTGCCCAGGCTGTCAGATCTGCTACCACTTACATCCTCTCTGCTTTTCTTTCCCACTGCTCTTGGCAACTCTGCTAGAGCCACACTGTCCCAGAGCACGCAAAATCTTGGAAATTACTCTCATCTCCTGGACTGCTCTCCCATATATCTACAAGGTCTTCTGGCTTCAGTTGGGTCCCTACTCAGATACAACTTCCTAGAAACACTTTACCCCAGCAGCTTCACAAAAATATTTTTCTGCTTTTGGTCAGGCTCAATGTCTTTGATTTATATTTCTTCTTCTAATGCATTAATGCTTATTTCTTTGTTGTTTCCACACACACTAGTATCTATAATAAATAGTATACAATAGTGTTCCATAAACATTTGTTTACAAGAAATGGTGATAATTTTATGCATTAGAACTCATGACAATCAAACATGAAACAGCAAAATTTAAAAAAGAAAAAGATCAATTACAGCAACATTCCTAAAGTCAACTGTAAATCTTGCTTTTGCTGGATGGCAGTAGAGCAGTTTATTCTGAAGTTATGCTGAAAGATACCAAGAAAGAACCAACGTCTGAACTCTATGTTTTCTTATGTTATAGCACAATGGGGCTGAGCAGCTAAATTGCGTTTTAGATAAATGCAAATTACAGAGTGTGCATTAGTCTGTAATATTTGCTATGTGGTGATTTTTGGAGCAGAACATGATCTAAATGACTCCTTAATTTCTGTGATGGAAAGGCAAAAGAAAAGAGGCCAGGGTAAGGTTAAGGATTTTATTTCTAGCAAAAGTAAATAAAGAAAAATAAAGAAAAAAGACAAACCACAGAAGAAAAGTAACAACTGAGGAGGCTCCTCATATAGAGGACTCTAAAAGACAGGCTGTTTCAATGACAGGGAGCACAAAAATCAAGAGAGGTTAGCCAATAAATGTCAATGTTCTACACACACACACATACACACACACACACACACACACACACACACACACTAAAAGGTAACAAGTATGAAATACATTTTACCTGTCTTAATATTGACAGGTTAAATTACTCTTATACTTAAGCACTTAAGCATTATTATGTAAGTTCTCAAGTTCATCATTAGCGTGGTTGGAGACTTTAGTATGCAGTGGTTAAAGCCCAGGATTATGCATCTGAGAAGGCAGGTGGATCGTGTCATTCATCAAACCGAGTCTCTCTGAGTTGTGTTTGGACAAGTTGTAGAAGACCATGAGATGATTTACCTGTAGCAAGCACTTCAGAATACTGAATGGGAAACTCTAGGTAATGTAGGCAAATTATTCCTTTATCAAATCTTTCACCCATTCATTCGTCACTTGAGTTAGCACCACTCCCATTGATTTCTTGTGCTTGTCACTGGAGGATTTAACAGGCTGTAATTTTTTCAGCCAACTTGTCTACTTCCTGTACACATGATTGCCAAACCAAGTCTAGCATACAGAAAAAGCAACTTAGGAATTTGTAAAATAGTCTTTGTGCATCAGACTGTTTGTATCCTATGCCCTCTCTATTCCAAGTGGAAAGGAAAGCAATTCCAAACTCGGTAGGGGAGTTTGCC